AGAGAGAGAGAGAGAGAGAGAGAGAGAGAGAGAGAGAGAGAGAGAGAGCGCAATGGAATAAAAAGTGATGAGACGATCAAGGAAGCTTCTCCAAAAAAGAAAAGCTTTGAGAAAACTCAATGAGAAGTTTTTCAAACAGAGGGAGTGGAACTCCAGCTGAGGAGAAAAGCAAGCACAAAGGCCTTGGGATAGAAATACATTTGCCACCTTAGAGACACACAAAGATTTTAACAAAGCATCCAAGGGCCAGAATATAAGAAAATATAGTTGGAACTTAATGCGTGGGCCAAATTGCATGGAGTTTTATTCACTGTGGTATGGGATTTATCTCTAAGATTCTATTGTGGAATTGTGGGCAGAGGTATGGTAAGAAAGACCATGCTAGCTTTTCTGAAGAGAATGGACAAATAGACAGGACAGGAAGCAAGAGAACAAATGAGGAGGCTCTAGAAGAACCAGGAAGAATCAGGGATAGAGATCATGAAGCTTTAAACCAGAAAATTGCAAAAAGAATGCAAGAAATCGGCAGATTTAGAGCATATTTGAGTAAAAATTGAAGCACACTGTTGAGTTAGAAAGAGAGGAATGCAGGATGACTCACGCAAGAGAGAGAGTTCTCACACTGCTGTAGTGTATGGTTTTCTGGTGTTTACATTACAGTAGAAACTGCTAGAAAAAGGACACCTATTCCAAGTGAATAAGGCACCACAGTATTAATTCATGCAAAAGATTAAGATAATGTAATGATAACTCACATGTCACAAGTTACTGAGTGCTGTGTATATACTTAGGTATTGTGTTTTTGCTTTCTATAATGTATTTCACTTTGTCCTTTGGTCTTTTCTTTTTGCGGTACTAGGGATGGAGCTCAGACCCTCACGCATGCTAGGCAAGCACTCTGCCACTGAGCTACACATCCAGCCCTCACTTGATCCTTTGCATAACTCTTCCTCATTTTATAAATGATGAGAAAAAGCTCAGAAATGTGGAATAATTTTCCCAAGATCCCAACACCAGTCAGTGGTAGAACTAGGTTAAACCTCAGCTCTGTCCAATTTTGAGACCAAAGAACTTAACATTACATAAGGCCTCACTGGGTTAATATCTGATTTTATAGTTCCGAACACCCAGTCACATTTTATAGCATTTGACTTTCAAGGAATAGCCCTTATTCCCATTGACTCTTTCTCCAATGCTATGACATGAGTCAGAATTCTAATTATGTCCATCTTAAAGATCAGAAAGGTGAACGTTGGAGGTTAAATGAGTTTCCAAGGTCACATAGGTAGTACCTGAAAGTCTTGGTCTTTGGTCATATTTGACTTGTTTTATTCAGTGTAGTATGGATGGTCTAAGAGATTTACATTGTGTGCCCTTTTAGCAGCTAATGGTTGTGAGCGCCTTTCTGACTTCTGTATGTTGAACCCCTATTGCTAAGCTGGCTAGGAATTTCCTCATTCTGTTCACTCATGACTGATGAATCCCAGAAAATTTTCACTACTTCCAAGAATTTTCTAAGAATGACATGACAGAAGATACATAAAAGCTCGAGCAGCGGTATTTGTTTACATGTCTATTGTATTCCTTGCAAGTGTTAAACAATGATGTCCTCATCATAGACTCTCACAAAATAACTTAATGCAAAATATGTGGAATGAAAAAGAAGTCTGATGCAATACATATGATTATAATTTCGCACATTTAGGGAGCTGGGGATTTAGCTCAGCGGCAAAAGCGCCTACCTGGCAAGCGCAAGGTCGTGAGTTCGGTTCCCAGTACCAGAGAAAAACAAAAACAAAAACAAAAACAAACAAACAAAAAAAAATTCACACATTTAATTACTTTTATTTTTAATGAATTATTTTGGTGTCTATGTATAAATATGTATTTATTAGATATATATTTAAGAAGATTAGAAATAACTTTGAAGATAATAGAATCATTGAAGATTTTGGACACAAGTAAAATGATCAAAGTTGTCATTTAGTATCATTACCCTAAAGATTATGTACTGACTGATAGAATGGAACAGGTAGCATGATAACTGTTAAAAATATTCTCAACAAAGAATAATATGGGCTTGAGTTACAATTAAGGCTCCCAATGCAGGAAATTACATGGAGGGTAGAAATATAAGATATTATATATTTCATTGATATATATGTATATACACATCACTATATTACATGAAATTATTAAAATACTGTGATAAATTTTAAAGTGGCTAGCCCAACTAATATAAGCAATCTAGATAATTCAGAAATGCTTGCTATTGAATAATATTACCTTAAACTTATTTTATGAAGGACTGGTGATCATATTTAATCTAGTGTAACATTTAAAAACTTTGAGTTATTGAGGAAAAGTGGGTCAAATTTTCATTTCATTTGCATGTTCACACACTCTCAAAGTATTAAATGTATTTTAAGAAGCAAATGTAGACATATATATTTCATATATGTATTTATGAATCTGAGGGAAGGAAGGAATGGGGGAAGAAAGATAATTTTTTTGTAACTGTGTTGGAGTTGTCTTCTGGGTTTTAGCAGTGCTTTTCTTGTTCTGTATCTAACCAAAAGATTGTTGCCTCTAATAAGGTTAGTAAATCTTTCATTCCATCTATATCCAGGAGGAATTAATAATTATATATATGTGTTAGAGGAATGAAGATAAATGTAATATTTAAAAATGAGAATGATACTTAGACCTATCTGAAGCACTGTGGGAAATCTGCAGGGAGTGAGCAGGCGACCCGCCATGTTGTTTCTGTTGAGCTGATGAGCTCTGTGTAAAAACTGAGTTACTCACAGGCTGGGTTTACCAGGGTTTCAGCCACACCAAGTAAAATGTACTGAAGAACCAGGTGCAAACCAGGCATGGAGGAAACAGTGAGAACTTTCGCTGACAGAGGCTGCTCCACTGGAGGAAATTGCTTTCTGTGTATTTCAAAGCAGCCAGCTACCATCACTGACAGCGCAGCAGAAAGATTTCCAGCAACTACAGGGAAGGATGGAAAAGAAAAAAAACAAAATTAAAAGAAGAGATAGAAGTCAGTGCAATAGGCTGCAACATTTTGTACATACATGTTGATACTCAGGGATATTTTCTCAATTTTTTGAGGGGCCCTCGGGGTGTACAGATGCCCATTCAATATGTTCTATGGCTTCAGCAAGTGCTGAGTCTATTTCCTGTTGCATCCCTCACTGGTTACCTGACCTCAACCCAGTTATTTAAACTCATCACTTTTCACAGTTCTAAGATAGGGTAATGCTGCTTACTTTTTGGGTCATTGTGAGATTTAAATAAGATAATGTTATATATTGTTATAAGAGTTCCCAGTAGCACTTAAAAGCCACTATTATTGCAGATAAAACAATAGCTTTAAACTTTTGTTCATAGATAAGGGAGATCTTTCTAAATATTTTAAAAAGATATGTTTGAATAAAAATGATTCAGTAGAAATTAAAACAAAACAGTATGTTTATATAGTTTTAATTATCATTTTAAAAGGAATTTGAAAAAACTGATATTATCAGTCCTTAGATTTTTATCATTTCTCTAATATTTACAGCAAAATTAAAACACCCATAAGAGAGTTAACGTTTAGAAACTTTGTTTAGGAAAAAATCATTAAAAGAGGTAAATTAATGAAGTGAAGAAAACAAATATGAGTAATTATTCAGATAGTAGCCTAACTCTTTTAAGAAAATTAGGACATTTGTGGTTGTAAAAGATTAGGAATTTTGCAACAGAGTTTATATCTACTGTTAACATTTCATTTCTCAGTTCATCATTCATAGTATTAGAATTCTATTGTTGGAGTAGAGACAACCTTTGGCTGGATGGAATTTACTTGAAGTTTAGAGACATTTACATTTTCCTGACTTGCATAGTTTCAGACAAGGCAATGCAGTGATCCCTCACCTACCATGGGAGTTACATTGCAGAGACCCAACGATAGGTCAAAATCCATGAAGCAGTGGTATTATATTTATTGTATTATTTATATATATTTTAAGGCTTTATAAACCCTTCCCACAGTCCTATAAACCTTTCCCACACTCTTATAAACACTTCAGATGCTCTTAAACACTTTCTACACTCTTAAACTTACGTAATGTTAACAGCATGTAAAATTCTACATGGGTACTCAGTGTGAAGTGGACAAGGAGAGATGGTGACCATATGAGCACAGTGTGGGAGAGCAAACAAACCAGTGCTATGGTCCCTGAGCCAATCAGCACCCAGGATACAGAATACAGTGCTGTGGTTGGTCACCTTTCATTCCTTCAGGCAATAGTGCAAGCAGTAGTGGTGTACTGCATTTCCATTGTGTACACTATGGTATTCACCTGCTGGTGAAATACATGCTGTATTTTGTTTTGATTTAATATTCTTTTAATATGTTTGAATTAACATTTTTATATTGTTTTAAACTTTTTAGGCAGTAATAATTAAAATAATAAATCTTATCTAAATACCTATATATTGCAAAATCCAACAAGATAGCAAAAATTCTGTGATACAAAATTAGATATATGTTTTTAAAACCCATGATACCAGTGAAGCTGCAGTAAGTGAACCATGACATAGTGAGGGATGATGGTATTTCAATTCAGAAAAACCAATGTAATGTTTAAATAGCTTTGTGTTTGTTTTTGTTGATAGAGAAACTGGTAGGTAAATTTTTTGATTGTATCTCAGCATTTTTTTTTTCATTTCTGAATACGTATTTTTTATTTTTTTTAATTTTTT